TCTCAACGCTAATAGAGTAGGTAAGATCCAATCTTTTTCAATGATATTAATTTTCTTCCATTAGAAAATATACTTGGGGACCCCAAGATTTTTGTCCTACCTAATGACGATATGGTAAAAGAACCAGATATCGAGTTGGTAATTCTAGATTAAACATAGAACCGAAAGTGATTTAGCAAAGTTGAAATTCAAAAATGTCCTATGTCCAATAATAAGCGGAGGACCTGACCATATCCCCTAGGATATGTGACATGTGCCTATATGTAGTGATTAAAAGTGGATTTCATTCCCAAAATATTCTTGAAATATGTTCTTCTCTATTTCCTTTAATCAACCATAGGTTACAAATGTTTTACTGAAATCGAAATGCCGAATTTATGAGACCTTTAAGGTAATATTTTTATGACATAGCATTCGGATCTGTTTCTGTACATTTATGGTAGGTACATATTTTTTAAAAGATTGCAGACTCTATCTGATTATTATGGCTGTGTACGGACGGCAGCAAAACAAATTCTTGGCAGTATAAGGGATTTCGTGGTAAACACAAAGGGTTATGAGAAAGGCATACCAAATGTACAATATCGGAAAAATCTCGTTTCTGGGTTTTTCACTTTTGAGATAAGCAGAACAAAGTGAGATTTTCAGAAGGAATGAATGTTATGTTCCCTCACGCCATTCGTATTTGAATGGGAGACGTTTTAATGCCTTTGATTTTCCGAGCATAAACTTGGGAGCCAAAGGGTTAAGTAAACAACCTTCTGTTTTACCAATGGATTGAATATAATGGGATTTTTTTTTTTTTTTTTTTTTGAAAAATTTTGAAAATTACAAATTTACAGAACTTTGCTCCATTCCTACTAGTTTTGCAATTTTGTTATAACCTACACCTAAGTGTATTACGTCTTTGTTCATTTGTTTGTAACATGGAGAAGGAAGCGAGAGATTGAGACGAAATTTTGCAAACAATATTTGTTTGGCCCAAGGACGAACCTTATTGAAACTGGTGATAATCGGATGAGATTAAGATATAGCTCCCATATATCTTCAACCGATTTCGGGTTAATTGTGCACCAAATAACTAATATAAGTAGAAATGGCCTGTTTTTTGGTACATCCCACCGAATTCAGTCTAGAAGCAAGTAAATCAAATTTGGAGAAAATCGGTTCAAATGTAGCTATAGCTCCCTCACATGCGTAATATGCACTCCAGAAGAATGATATTTGGAGTCGGACATCAGATACTGCTCGAAAATACCTCTGTCAAATATTATAAAAATCGGCTTAGATTAGAATATAGCTCCCATATATATCGTTATCCGATACCAGGTTTATTGTGACCAAATGGCTGATATAAGCCCAAATAAACTGAATTTTGGCAATTACAACTGAATTCATCCTGTAAACCATTGCTTCAAATTTGGTGTAAATCGGTTCAGATATAGCTATAGCTTATATGTTTATGCATTCCACAACAAAGATCTTTGGTACCAAATATCAGATCCAACTCCGAAATAAGTGTATCGAATTTTGCCAAGATTGCTTCAGATTTGCATAAAAGTCCTGATTTTTTGTACATCCGACCGAATTCATTTTAGAAGAAAGTACGTCGAATTCGGAGAAAATCGATTCAGATATAGCTATAGCACCCATATATATGTTTTATCCGATTACATTCGTAATATGCATTCGTCAACAATGATATTTGGTACCAGATATCTTATAAAGCTCTAAAATACCGTTGCCAAATTGTGCAAATAATGGCTGATATCAGCCCAAATGAAGTAAATTTTGTGCAACTCGGCTCCGAAATATATATTTTTAATATAATCCTACTCCAATTGATATCATGCACTCTATAGCCAACCAAAACTGCCCTAAAGCTAAATGTTGATAAATATTTTTTTTTTTACGGGAGCTCTACTAAATAGGCATAGTGGTATTATATATTCGGCACCGCCCGACTTTTGACTTTCCTGACCGGTTTTAATATTACAAAGGTAAAATCGGTTATCGTGGTAAAAAGTGTTACATTGTTGCAGTTCTGGAACAGAGAACACAATTATTTTTCACAATATCCCGTAATGAGTAATGTCGATGTGAAGTGTGCACATTCGACTACAAAGCCGAAACCAATAAAACCACAATAAAATACGATTGGAAAGAACGCTTAAAGTTCATAACTACATATCAGAAGGTTGCGAGTTCAATACCAAGAGTGTAAAAAAGAAAACCAAGGAGTGATAGAGTGAAACATTAATTCTTAAAATAAAACTTTTTTCTACAACTGAGTTTGGTATGAAAATTGTATTTATTTTCATATTACATTCAATTGAAGCTATTTTGATGTTCATTTCGAGTCTATTTTTACTAACCCTATTAATAACAAAGGGTTTGCTTGTTGACGGCGGCATGGAACGTTACCTCTACTGAAATATACGCATTATTGCTAATAACGTAAAACGCTGAGATGAAGCAAAACAAAGTCTTTGCCAAGTTTAAAAGTTATTCAGGAAATTAGGTAAATATTGGACAAAACATATAGGTATATTAATATTTTAATATAAACTGAAAATTAGCCTTTTGAAATTACTCTTTTAGAAAATATTTACAGTTTTACATATAGTAGAAGAATTTATCCCTCAGCAAAGATAAAATTCCAACCCCATCATTCCAAAACTTTTCAAAATCGTTTAAAGTTTATGTATTTTATCCAAATTTACCCATCAAGTGTTAAATAATATATACTTTAAGCTCCGAAGTAATTCATGCATTCCCTTTCGCATTGACAATTTCCATTTAAATTGAAATCATAATTCACAATAAATGAAATCCAGCAAATACTAAGAAGGCAATTTATTCTTATGATAACAGCCAATTTGTGTCGCGGGGGTATTTTCATTTGATTCTGCCCCTCCTAGTCGCCCTCTTTTCCTCTCATGTCACATGCACAGATTCCAATTTTCGCATGATGTGAAAATACATTTCGCTAATTTAATTACTGGGATAAGTGAATAAAATTGAGATTTATTTTCTGTTCGCTTTACAAATGTTTGTCGTTAATGGCGAATATTAAACATATGCATTGAAATTTCTTTCAATAAACTCCAAGGTATATCAAAACATGTCCTTATGAACACACAAGCGAACACACACACGAATTCAAGATGACATAAACTTTCATTACACATTTGGCAGACAGAGAGTCAAGAGAAAATAATCATCCGCATCACCATCGCTGTGAGTTATGACAATGTGTTTGAATATGTTCCTGTGTCACCTTCCTCCTCCAATCCAACCCACATCACTAAATGATGATAATGGCTTTTATCACTAATGCAAAATTCATACATATTCATTCACACACACACGCACGCACACACACTCGTACATACATACACTGTAGAGGGGATTTTATATTTGAAATTAAATTGACGTCACTCATAATAACAATAATAATAAAATATCTTTCAAGTCCATCAAAATTAATTGCTTGCCAAACATAGCATTCATTTTCTTTCCTCGTATCCTCGGCGTACATTTTAAGAGTTCTTCGTCTCCTTTTTTGTCACAAACACACACACACACTCTTATACCTATGGCCATCAAACAAACATAATAGACCACTTAAGTTTTATGAAGATACGAATCAGTTTGGGTGGTACAGGCAACGATAGGATATTTTTAAATAGCGTTTCGAATTTAAAGTACGAAGCAATTAAAATTAGGGATGCGTAATCGGAAGTGGACTATAAAATCAAGAAGCTATCTATTTTAGCCGAATATATTCAAACTAGGATTGTATATTTCACTCTTGTTGTAAATATTGCTAATAGAGCACGGATTTTAAGAACTTTTACCCAACAACAACTTGAGAGAAATATGAGCCGAATATAATTCATTAATAGGTAATGTAAACAAACTGCCGTCTGCATTACCCGCAGATTAAAAATAATGAGTTATTTCTTTAAAAATTACATAGCAAACGAACTTACTTTCCTCATTACCAAGTAATGAGTAATGTCGGCACAGAATGTGTGAGTCGAACTACAAATACGAAGGCTGTGAGTTTGTGGCACGGCAAATGAAGGAAAATATGCCATTATGTCGATGACTAGTTGTTGTAGATGTCACACTTGAAACAACCCAACGTAACGGTGGTGCAGTGTGTTTAACTACCAATCATAAGGTTACAAGATCAATACCAGCATCGGAAAAAATAAAAATGTTTATAAAAAATATTAAACAATACTGTTTTTTACTTCTTTATCGACCTGCCTTTAGCAAAAATAATTAAGACTCTCGGGAAACCCATTATTTGGTAATGAGAGTTTTTGTTGGGTAATGATCAAACTCCCTAAATATGCCTAAAATATTACCGAGATTCGATAGTCAACTTATTAAAACATTTTTAATGAAGATTTCGCAAGAGATTGGGCGATCTATGACCTATTCGAAAACCTGGACTTATTTGGACTATTTCTTCCACGACAGGAACAATGGACCTTGTCCGGAAACTGAAGTACTAAATAACAGTCAAATGAGCCTAACATCTTAGGATTAGCCAAAGATAGGGATATACCTTTATAAGGGAGCTATAACACGGCGAGGGCCGATACAATCCATTTATAGTGAATTGTTGTTGATCTATTTTTCAAAAATTTGTAATATATGTATTTATGTTTGAAGATGTATATCGAATATATATACAAATCTGAACCGATCTCGATAAAATTTGGCAGAGATATTTTCGAACTGTATCTGATGTCTGGTATCAAATATCCTTGTTGTGGAGGGCATATTAAGCATGAGAAGGACTTGAAATCCAAAATCGGATGTAACATATATATTGGAACTATAGCTATATGTGAACCGATTTTCACCAAATTCGAAGTACATTTTTAGGATTTATTCAGTTGGAATTGCCAAAATTCAGTTCACTTTGGTGCACAATAAACCTGATATCGGATAAAGATATATATGGGAGCTACATCCATCTCGATACTATTAAACAGATGTATTTCTGGGCTACATCTGATATCTGGTACCAAATATTTTCTTGTGGAGTGCATAATACGCATGTGAGGGACTTAAACACAAAATCGGATGAAACATAGATATGAGAGTTATAGCCGTATCTGGAACGATTTTCAGCACTCTGAAATTCGATCGGATGTGCCATAATTCAGGTCGTTTGGATTGATATAAGCCATATGGTGCACAATTAACCCGAAATCCGTTGAAGTTATATATGGGAGCTACTACTATAAAATTATTTAAAGGACCTTCTCTGGGAAACATAATTTCCAATTCAAATGGCTTCCTCTGTTAATATCTCTAAACACTTATTTCTTAAAGCAAAAAAAAAACAATTTCTTTGAGAAAATTTCTTTAATAAGTATTTAAACAATATTATACACATCAAGTAAGATGATACTTACTACCGGCTACCTTGATTTTCTACCGTTTGCTGTTATTGTTGTTGGCATTTCTTGTGTTGATTGTTTGTGTATGTGTGCCTGCATATCGGCATAAATATGCAATATATTTAAATATCTTAGTAGTGCTGTCATATACTTGATGATATAAATATTGTCCTATTTGCATAAAATTCTAATTTAAATGCTGCTACTAGACGTTGTCGTTGCCGTTGCTTTAGCCTTCGGCTGACGTTTTAGATTGACTGACACTATGCCATCCATGGTTGCCGTTCTGGCTCTACCACAAGCGTTGCACAATTCCTACACAGAGTGGAGTGGACAAGGATATATTGAAGAGTTGGAGTTTTGAAGAATTTTCTGCCAACTAAAATAAAAAGGATGCGAACTTTTAATGCATGAAAACAGAACCCAAATTTAAATACAGTATGTAATTATTTATTAATTCGAAAGTAAAACAAAAAATATATTAACATCTCCAACCTTGAAATTCCGTTTTTTTTTTTCAAACGTAAGATCAAATTTCCATGACCTATGACTTTAACTCTTTAAAAAGCCCCCATTACAGCGTCGTCTCTGGTTTAACTCTTTGCTCTGTTGGCCAGTTAGTTGTACAGGTCTTATTTTTTCTCTAGTTGTAGCTATTGTTGTTGCTGCTGCTGACGCTCGCTCACTCGCTCGCTCATACAACATTGATTTTTCTTTATTGTGCAATTTATTTTATTTTCCAACAAATTTCTTTTATTTTCAACAGCAACAACTAGGATGACTACCTCTACCTATTGCCTAGCCACGGCATGGCCTGGCACATACGATTGTGTATATATACAAGGAGCGAAGGAGGGAGGGAGGGGAAGAGGGAGTGGAATACAAACACATCCCTCCCAGTTCCTGTAATTGTCCTTCCCCTGCCGCTTTGATGGCGATATTGGTTTAGACTTTGTGCAAGTTCTCTGGGTTATTTTCCGTTTTCTTTTGCTCGTAGATGGACGGCAACGTGTGCGCGCAATCAATTTTCTTCCTTTCTATGCCTTCGCTTGCCAGCTAGCTAGCTGGGTTGACTGCTTGCTTGCTTGCTTTGGGAAGTACTTTCCAACTCCTCTGCTGTTCGCCAATATTTATTTAGCATTTTTCTTGGTCGTCGTCACCGCCACCGCCGCCGTTTGCTTGCCTGGGCTGTTTTTGTTTTCGTCTTCTTTCGCTCGCTCGCTCGCTCGCTCTCTCTTCTGGTTTTAAAGAAAACGTTGTTATTTGGCGTTGTTTTTATTCTTTATTCTAGCAATTTTCTCTGTTTTTTTTAATGGCTACACATTATTTATATTTATACGTTATTTTTTATAGTTTATTCATGCAAATTACAATGAGAATACAAATTATATAGGATGTACGCTGCTTGTACACACACACAGACCATAAATATATTGTGTATAATAATTTAATGGAAATGAAAACAAATTTGAGGTAGAATTTCCATAACTTTAATGTGAGGAAATTGGTTTTTGATAAATATTTGACTAGTATAACTCTGCGTAGGACACTTAATTTAATATCGATGATATTAAGCGACCCTTAAGGATAGCATCTGGGCTTCGAAATTGGCCACTTAATTTTGAGTGGGGATACATTGTACAAAATTGACCCAAAATCGTAGCTTCCCCAAAAATTTATCATTTTCTGGCGGAAAAGAAAATAGTTGATGCCAGGTCAAAATTTCTAGGGCATTGAATATTTTATATATTTCTCCAGGAGTTCGGTATTAGAATACCATGTGTCTTATAGTGGTATACTAATGCCGTACTTCCCCACCTATATCATTGTACCACCTTCCTAGTAATTTCATTTAATATTCACAATTGTTCATAAGGCCGACCTTATGTAGGCCTTAAAAATTTAGATAAATTAGAGAAATTCACTTGAAAATTGAATTTATTCAAATATAATTTAGAATATTTTATTTTTGATTCCAACTTCAGGCATTTAAGATTATATTGTATTAATTTGACCTCTCGAAATTTTTAAAATAAAAATACATATAAGCATTTGGCGCCTTTTACATACATACAGGTGAGATAAAAAAACCACAACAAAGTCAAAGGTCATAATTTTTACATTTTTTTAGTAAATTTTATTGAGTGAAAGCAAAAAATGTCGGAAGTAGCATCAAAATTTAGAACAAATTTAGATTTGTTCGAATTGGTCACCTTTGGCACGAATTATGGCCTTCAAACGGCCAACGAAACCGTCACACGCTGCCCGAATGTTGCTCTACGGTATTTTGGCCCAACCTTGCTTTCGAAAATACTCCAGATACAATAGTCCAACGGTTTGGTATCCGGAGATTTTGTTGGCCATTGTGCGCTAGAAATGAAACGATGGTCACCCATCCATGGGTGGCGCGTGCTGAGTGCGATGGTGCTAAGTCCTGTTGGAATGTCCAAGGTCTGCGGCCAAGATGTTTGCGTGTCCAAGGTTTTAATACACCCTCCACAATATTTTCACTATAATATTCGGCATTAATTCTGATGCCACGGTCGATCAATACGAGCGGAGAGCGACTTTCGGCTGTTATGGCGGCCCACGCCTTCACCATGGCCGACGAATGTTTTCTCACCAAAACCAAATTCGGCAGTTCACCAGTTTCGGCCAAGCGAAGCAACTCTTTAGCTCTTTTGAGTCTATTTTCTTTCTGCTGCAGTATAAATTCTTGCACTTTTTGGAATTTCAATGGCTTTACCCATCGCAAAGTAACCTAAATAGAGGGGACAAGCTTCTCCCTCTTCCATCTCTGTAGATGGACGGCGTACAAGACCAAATATTCTTTATCAAATTTCACTACAAGTCACCAAAGAAAATAAATCTCTCTTTCCTCTCTCTCTCTCTCTCTCTCTCTCTCTATCTCTCTTCCCGCTGTATATCAAAAAATGCATCATTGTCTCAAAAAAAGTATTCCTTTTTATCTATTTTTTTCTTGGATTTTTTTTATTTGATTTGAGGCTTGATAATAACATAAAATTTCGTTGTAGGCGGAAGTTGTCAAAAGAAGAAATATTCTGCATAAAATTTCACTATAAATCTCAGGATAAACTATGTATCTAGGTATATTAGTTTTTATGAGAATTACATTCAAAATGTATACACATGGCTTTTTCTTCTGTTAATTAAACATGTTTCGACTCCGAGTCAAAATCTCCCTCTATACTTAATTTTTTTGGAAAAAGTGTCAAAGTAAGAATAATTCTACATCAAATTTCATTGTGAGTCTCTAAACTAATGACATTTCTATACTTAATATGCGCCATGAAAAAATATCATCAATTTTTTTAATAAAACATTTGTTGATTTTCGAAAAATTTAGAATTTTTCTAAATTAGATCAAACCCCCAAAGGCGTTATGCCATGGGCTCTTAACAATAATATAGTCTTATCCATATACAAAGGTAGGGGCCCCTTGATATATATTTCGCAATATTTAGGATAGAGTTTTGAAATTTGTTAGATGTCTTTGGATTACACCCAGAATCATTTGTACAGAAATAGTTCATATCGGTTCACTTTTTGAAATAGTTCCCTTGTAAGAATAACTCCGATTTCCATATTTTACCAATTTGCCTATGTTCTCCATTTAATTTCACAAAATTTTGGCATTTTGAGTACTATTTGCTACAGCACTTATTTAATCATACCCCTTGATTTTGATATTTTCTAATCGATTTGGCTTTTGAAAATATATTTAAAAGTCTTAAATTTTCCCTCACTTTTACATAACTCTTGTTAAAAATTGATCTTTAAATTTTGCCATTTAAAATATATTTGCCCCTTGGGAATTCACAAATTAGTTTGTCACATATTTTTTTTTTTGTCTCTATTCACTGCAGTCGGTTGGCTGTCCTGTTTAGTTTAGGTTTAGTCAGTTTCTTTGTTTTATTTTAACAGAAATCATTTTTTTTTTTTCTTATTTTGTTTTTAATTTTCATGTTTTGTATTTTTTTCTCTTTTTCCTTGCCGAGGCAATAACATCTTTTTTAATGTTTTTGTTTGGCTTGAAAAAACATTTCAAGATGTCTTTTCGCTTTTGTGCATTCTCGGAGTTTTACGAATGGGGTGGCCAGACGTAAAAATAAAAATTTATATAAAATTTATGAATTAAATTTGAATTGCTATCAGAGACACTGAAATGTGAAACTCTAATAGTTATTTATAAATTCCTGATACAGACATGTTAATTACATTTTAACGTCTTTTTCGATTTTAATATAAAAATATACAAAATTTAAATATATAAATTTACAAACTGGTCCTTTTAAATAACTTGTTTACGTTTCCGTTCTCCTTTCCCATGTTGTTGTCTGATGTGTTTTGTTTTTACATTTAGCTCCTCTAGCTGAGGTCCCTTGAGAGACCGAATATAATTTTAAATTCCTTTTTGTATTTTCGCTGTTGTTGTTTTTAGCAATGTTTTCTTTCGATTTGTTTATTTTAGGATTCAATATTTTTGTGTTGTGTTTTTATAGCTGCAATATACGAAGTTTCGCCAAGTAAATATATGTGAATGTGATCAAAAGCCAAATGGCATAAGTTCAAAATATTGCATATTACAATTTTCACAATATATGGCAATAATGAACTGAAATTACTAAGTGTGGAAATTTCAAAATATTTTAAAAGTAATTTTTGTTTTTTAATATTTTTTGCAATATACCTAACCTCAAAATATGTTTGGGACCAACAGCAAAATCTCTAAGAAAAGATGAGTGTGTTGGAGTTGTTAAGGAAGAAAACAAAGCAAAAAGAAAAAAAGCCGCACAGAGACAAAACAATCAGGGACCAGCGAGTTACTCTCCCAGCAAATGGCCAGCTAGACGATGGACATTCAGACGTACGTACATACACACATACGAACTGAAACAGGACAGACAGATGAACTTATAAACAAGCAGACTTGTTTAGACCACATTTTTGCATCTTACTTGTTGATTTTGTTGTTGTTTATTCAAAAACAAAAAAAATCTCCGCTACCCTTTGCCTCTCGCCTTATCATTTTTGCCGACTTTAAAGCTGCTATAGTTTTCAGTTTTCATTTTTTTCTCATTTTCTTCATTCTGGCTTAAGTCTCGGATTCGATGTTGTTGTTGTTTATACAGCGTGGATAAATAAATGTGTCTGTGTTATTTTATAATTTTTATCAAGAAATTGCCATTTGTTGTTGTTGTTCTTGCCGGTTGTTTTTTTTTTGCCTTGCTTCATTTTAACGTCAACATAGATTTTTAATTAAGTTGGGTATGCGGCAACAACATCGCCAATAGCAGCAACACCAACAACAACCACAACGACGACTACGACGTCGACATTGTCTTGCATTGATATCGACATATTTGCACGACTCGTGTATCTATGCCGCAATTAAAATTGCAATTTCGGATTGGAGTGTGTGTCCTGTCCTCTATTCATGGAAATTGCGCGGCAAGCTCTCTTAAGATTGTGGAACGTACCACTTGAAAACCGCCAGTATCTTTCACTATCACCCGGAAAAGAGAAGGAATACCCAAACGATAAAAGTTATCTTTGTTATTTATTTATTGTTTCGAATATTTTTGAAATTGATTCATAATTGAATTGACTGTTAGAATTTTTCTAAATATTGTTGTGTTAATTATTGTTCTTGAAAAATTCTTAATATTTATTACCTTCAGCGAAGTTTTGCTGCTAACAAATATTATTGTAAAAATTCAATTAGTTTTTCAAGTTAGCTAGGGTAAAGAAATAAATTGTTATTTTTCATTAATTTATATATATTTTTGTATTTAAAATAAAATACAAACAAACACTGTGAACTATACAACTACTTTCCATCTCGCCTGGTTGGCATTTTCGACATAGCATTCCATCAGCCAGCCAACAGAAATCCTGTTGAAAATTTCATCAAACAAACCAAAAGCCTAACAATAGCATCTGGGCCACCTTCGTCTTCACCTAAAGCAGCCTTCATCAACCTACAGCCTTCGCTTTGTTGTCCTCGAACACTCGAATACAATTATCGGAATTGAATTTTATTATTTCAATTTTTCGTAGTTTCATTTTATGCATTTTTTAATAACCCAAGAAAAAAACTCATTACCAAATAATGGATTTTTTTACAACATTTTAACGCCAGTAACTACTTATAACCAAGCATCTTAATCTCTTATATTAACATGGACAGGTCATTG